ATCTATCTATCTATCTATCTATCTATCTATCTATCTATCTATCTATCTATCATCTACTTGTCTGTCTGTGTGTGTGTCTGTCTATCTTTCATCTATTCTGTATAATCTATCTGTCTATGCATTTAGCTCTCAACTTAAAATAGTTCATTTAGTAGCCATTCAAAGTTACAGTGGCACTGAAAAAAGTGACTTATAACCATTTTTCACACTTATGACTGTTGTGGCATCTTTTTGAGCTCATTAATAGTCCCAAAAGTGCTTTTTTAAAGAGGCAACTGGACTTTCTTGTTTTTCTTTGAAGACATTTTGTTTCTCATCCAAGAAGCTTCTTCAGATCTGACAGAACAAGAAAAGTCCAGTGGCCTCTTGAAAAAGCACCTTTGGGACAACTATGACCTGGATGACTGAGAATCTCCATAGACATTGAGCTTATTAATACATTTAAGCAAGGTGTGGAAATGGAGTTTAGATGTGTCTTTGTTTTGTATGTTGTGCTAATCAAGCAACGGTTGTTACGTAAAAGGATTTGGACTTTACTTTTAGAACTATCTAGAGCAGTGGCCCTCAACCTTCCGTGGAAAGAGGTGGGCCTGGTTTTGTGTGCTGCCTGCATCCCACAGGTTGGCTTAACTTGTTTGCATGGCCCTATTTCTGGCATGCCCCGGCCCAGTTCTGGTCCACAGACAGGGAGTTGGGGACCCCGATCTAAAATATTGTTGGGAAACCTATGTCCATTGTTGACCTACAAATCAAGCAGTCAGAGACCATTAGCATTGCTAATTGTGAGGTATATTCGGAGTTGTAGTTAACACATTTAGAAGGCTACCTCAGAGAATCAAAGCATTCCAGCTAATGAACTAGAACAGGGGTGTCAAACTCACATTGTTACGATGGGGTCACGTGATGCATTTGGATTTCTCCCCCTTTTGCTAAACTGGGCATGGGTGTGGCCAGCATGTGACGCTTCCGACCCACGGGCTGCAAGTTTGAAAGCCCTGAACTGGAAGCATTATAGGTATCTTCTCCATGCAATCAATGCCTACTGTTATAAAGAAAGATGTGTTTGGAAGTGTTCTTATTAACAGTTCATTGACTGCCAGCTGTCAATTCTTTGTTGGTGGTTGTTGAATGCAAATATTTTTATGCCATTGATGTACATATTTTTTTCCTTTCCTCCTGGGCCAACAGACATAGACTCCTGCAATTCATTTGCAGGAGTAAAATATTTGCTTTTGTTAATTTAAATTTAGATTTAGTCTATTTCACCTGTTATCTGTGGGTGCTTTTTAAATTGCTTTGAGGACTGGTATAGTTTATTGGAATGTTTCTAATATAAATGGAAATGCCTCGTTCGAATGTTATCTTTTGAACTCAAATGGATTTAGTAGAAGTGTATTTCCCAGCTTTCCGATCTGAGGACTTCGGCTTTCAGAATTGGCCATTGCTGAAGATCCTGGAAGTTAAAGGTTTAATTCAATTGGAAATAATTCAATACTGATGAACAGTGAATTAAAGCATCTTTTCTCTTTGTAGCAGGAAAAATTAACAGCTTGCCAAACAGAAGTTTCTTTCCAGCAGAGGGCATACGTTCTCCCCTTTTCAACAAAAAGTAGTTAAAACACTGAGCACCGAGTCTTCCCAAGTGTTGGGAAATGTTAACCGAATAACCAATGAAGTTCACTCTGCTAAGTCTAAACAGATGGATTCTTTGCAAGGGCCAACTGAAAACAGGCCAGATGTGAAAGTTATGTAAGAGACAGGTCATTTCAAAATAGCTCATGTAGATCACCGTATCTAACTCACTGCTTAGTGCAGAAAACTAGGAAGCTCTTGACTGATGAATGTCCAACACATCAAGTGAAGGGAAGGCTACCATTTCTCTGTAGTACTGGTTCCAATATTGAATTATTTACCATTTGGAAGGTTTTTTCTTAATGCTCATTGAGAATCTGCTTTCCTGTAATTTATTCTTTATGTTGTATTCTGGAACGAGTCCTCAAATGTGTGTCAATTAGTTAATATACTTCTTCATAATGGTCTATTATAGCAAGCCTTGCTTCAGCCATCTCCATAGATGACCAACAACTTCACACTGTCTTTTGTTCTTCAAATTTCTCACGTCTCTTTTTTCCAAAATTTCATCATCTCTTTCCATCTTCCCCTTCGTTTCAACCTCCTTCATTCTCTCCAAACTACCTCAAGCCATTTCTTTTATGTTGGTGGTCAGTCAATCACTTTGAAGTTCAATTCACATTCTTTAATCTTAATATTCTTGACCCTTTATCTTCTTTTTACTACACATGCTTCAAAAACCAGATTTTTGTGCAGTTTGGAGAACCCCCAAATCCCACTCCTGGCTGGCCCCACCCACTCCGCCCCACCCTGCCCCGCCCAGGAGTCCCCACATGGCCCATTTTGGATGCAGGGCAAGGGCAGGGCACGCATAGAGGCTCGGAGTGGGTGACAAACAAGCCTCCCGGAAGTTTGGGAAGGACAGAAATGAGCCTGTTTCCGACTTCCAGAGAGCCTCCGGAGACCAGGAAAGCTGTTTTCACCCTCCCAGAGGCTCGAGGAAAGCCTCCGGAGCCCGGGGAGGGCAAAAAGCCCCCCCCCCCCACCATGGTGCAGGAGGCTGACTAGGCCACACCCACCATGGCCACGCCCACCCAGCAAGCGGGCAGAGAACCCTTTGCTAAAATTTTTGAAGTCCACTCCTGGAAGGTGTGCGAAAAAGGGGGGGGAAAGAGCAAACAAAAAAAGATTTCCCAATTTCAGTACGATTTAGCTTCATCTTGGAAAAACGTGAGTGGCCATATTTTTTCTTCACAAATCCTGGATGGTTTAGGGTTATTGTTGTTGTTTTTTACAACATTCACCACAATACTTGAATAAAGACTTCTTCTTTTGGAAAAGGGAAATGGTTGAGTGAAAAATTAACCAAGATAAAAATGAGATGCCACTGTTAGTTATATATGTAAGTTGGTTAGTGTGGCTTGGAAGAATAATGCTGAACTCTGGAATTTTACACCAATACAGGTACCACCAAATTGAGCCCAAAATTTCTGTTGCTAAACGAGACATTTGTTAAGTGAGTTTTGCCCCTTTTTATGACTTTTCTTGCCACAGTTGTTAAGTAAGTAAATCACTGAAGTTCTTAAATTAGTAATATAATTGTTAAATGAATCTGGCTTCGCCATTGACTTTACTTGTCAGAAAGTCACAAAAGGGTGATCACACACACAACCTTGGGATACTGCAACCATCATGAATATGAAAAAGCTGCCAAGCATCTGAATTTTGATCACATGGTCATAGGGATGCTGCAATGGTCATAAGTGTGAAAAATGGTCATAAGCAGGGATGGGATTCTACCGGTTTGGACTGGTTCAGGCGAACCAGATGTTAAAGTTACATCTCATTTGCCGAACCAGTATTTCAACCGACTGGCTGGCCCTTCCCATTCCACCCCACTTCTCCCAGGAGTCTCCATGTGGCCTGTTTTTGATGGAGGTAAGTGCAGGGTCTGTGCGGAAGCTCTGGGGGGGGGGGGGGGGGGGGAATGAGATTTCTGGAAGTCTGGAAGCAGTCCTTTTTCCAGCTTCCAGAGGGCCTCCAGAGCCCAGGGGAGGCCTCTGGACCCTTGGGAAGGTGAAAAATGGCCCTCCCAGGAAAACCGGAAGTCTTGAAATGGGCCTGTTTCCGGCTTCCAGTGGCCCAGGAGATGCTGTTTTTGCCTTCCCAGAGGCCCACTGGAAGCCTCTGGACCCTTGGGAGGGTGAAAATGGCATCCCCCAGGATCTGGAGCCCCAGAAACTGAAAACAGGACGTTCCGGTAGGCCACGCCCACCCAACAAACCGGTTGCTGGGATTTTTGAATCCCACCCCTGGTCATAAGTCATTTTTTTCAGGGGCGTTGTAACTTTGAATGGTCACTAAATGAACTGTTGTAAGTTGGGGACTACTTCAGTGGTGGGATTCAAATTTTTTTATTACTGGTTCTGTGGACGTGGCTTGGTGGTCGTGGTGGGGAAGGATATTGTAAAATCTCCAGTCAGAAGTGGTATTTGCCAGTTCTCCAAACTACTCAAAATTTCCGCTACCGGTTCTCCAGAACTGGTTAGAACCTGCTGAATATCACCTCTGGACTACTTGTACTGAAAAACAATACTCCCAAAAGGTTGATGTTGCATTTTTAAAGAGTGGCATATTTTCAATATTTATATTTTTATGAATTACAGACCAACTTCGAACAACCAGCTTATATGCAGCCGTACATAAAAGCAAGGAAACTTAAGGAAACTCAAGGATAAGAAGGAAATGAAAAGCAGACCTTATAACACACAAACACACCATACGCACACATACACCCTAAAAAGCCCACCATATTAGCAATGATTGGTTTCTCTGCAACCAGATTTTAGACACATCATCATTTACTGTAGACAATGATAAAATAGGAAACAACTGCCTTTGGTTAGTCGCTTTGTCAAATGTATTGCTGATTTTTTCTTTTACATTCAGCCCTTTGGCTGTCCTGTTTTGCCCGTGTGAATTGATTTTAGAATAGAATAGAATAGAATAGAATAGAATAGAATAGAATAGAATA